ACAGTTTCTGTTACCTGCAGTCAACCATGGTCTGAAAACACTAAATGGAAAATTTCAGAAATAAACAATTTGGAAATTTTAAGTTCTGAGTAGCATAATGAAATCTCACACCATCCTGCCCAGAATATAAATCTTCCCTCTGTCCAGAATATCCATTCTGTATATGCTACCTGGGTTAACAGATGGATAGATCACAAGAGGAATGAGTACAGTCAATAAGACATTTTGAGAGAGAGACCACATTCCCATAACTTTCATTACCATATTTTGTTATAATTGTTCTATTTTATTATTAGTTGCAATTGTTAATTTCTTACTGTGCCTAATTTATAAATTAAACTTTATCACAGGTATGTATGTATAAAAAAACATAGTATATATAGGGTTCAACACTATCTGCGGTTTCAGGCATCCACTGGGGTCTTGGAAACCCCCATGTACATGGGGAGACTACTGTAAAGGGCAAAAATAAACCTTTTTAACAATTTTTTTTTACCTTTTCAATCTAAATGTTTTCCATGTTGTGAACATGTTTATATAGAAATGACCAATGAAAGATTTTTTTTCACAATTATTACTAGTCATAGTTCTCCTATAGGGTGGTGTCAGTATAACTGGAATATTAGTGCTTTGATTTTGTATTTGTGGGCAAGGAGAACCAGTAAGAGTAATTTCCCTAGTAGTACCCAATTGAATTTGGAGACACACTAAATCCCAGCATTCTCAATATATCTAGTTTCTGCTCTAGATTACCTTTGCACTCTGGCTGCCTTCCAGTCCAGCTGCCATTAGCTAAACACGTTCTTTCTTCTGAGCCATGAAGGATATAACCAGTATCACAAGCAAAACGTACAGTGCTTTTAGTTCTGAAATCACTTTCCTGTCTAGAACCATGACCGGGAGTTCCTGGATCTCCACATGCACCTGCAGCATCACCTGCAATGCAATATAGTTCTAGTTAATTTATTTCAATGAGCATTTATTGAGTTCATGATTTAAGCCACAATCAGGTAGGCATTGTTTTATGCATGCTGTGTTTTAATATAAGTTGACTTAGTAAAATTGCAATTCATATTTTCTATCTGATTCCATCATAAGAAGAAAAAGCATAAATGAAAAAGGAAATAGTTGCAGAGTAGGGCATTATTTTCCATAATCAGTGATATTTGGCAACATTAAATAGGTTAAGGACATTTCATTAGGATTTCCAGCACCTAGTTAATAACCAAGCTGATAGAAAATTTATAACTTTGGATTCAAATGATAATGAACTTATAAAATTAAAATTAAAAAACCAAATTCAGTAATTTGCATTCTTCCTTCTCTGAATTTCCTTTTACTGATAATCTTTTTTTTGTTGTTGTTGTTGTTAAAGTAGAACTATGGTGTGCTAGGACGTGTAAATATTACAATATAGTTCTCTCTTAATTTCTTAATTTAAATTTCTTTCTCTAATTCTCTCTACCAATGACTATTGACCAAAGATGAATGAACTATATATTTCTCATATATGAAAACATAAAAATAAATTATAAGCAATCAAAACTTACAAATTCTGACTTAAGTTCCTAATAAAGATTTTATTGATGACTAGATGTTCATCTTTTGATTTTATTGTTAAAGGTTTACTCAATCTTTACTAAGTCTCTTTATTACTTCTTAAATAACTCTAATCAAAGTTGCCATAATATTAATACATATTGAGAAAGAGAGAGAGAGGAGTTTAAGATATAAGGATTTCAATTGCTCTCTTTCTACATGCTTTTTGACATGCCCTTTTTCTTTGGAATCCTTCTTTAGATCTCCTCATTTTCATGTGATGTAATATTAATAACCATACAAAATTTTAAGATCAGTATTTCACTTTTAAATATCTGTGTACAATATTTTTTTGCACAATTCAGTAGCAGTTTTCTAATACATTGGGGGAGGTGTGCGTGTTTGTTTATATGAATAATCAGCTATCTAAGAATTAATTTACTAAGAGTTACTCCAAGAAAAGATTTTAATTTTCGTGAAAAACACATTCTTTACATTAGACAC